AAGCCCATGCGGTCGGACGGGTGGCGCAGCAGCCGGTAGAAGTCGGTCTTGCGGTAGAGGAAGCCGAAGAGCACGCGCAGGAAGTCCTGGACGTTGCCCACGTGCTGCAGGATGCCCAGCAGGGCCTGGTCGTACAGCTCGGCCGCCCCGGGCTCCATGGCGTCGCCGGCCGCGGAGACTCTGCTCACTGCGGGCGCGGCCCGGACGCCGGCCCACGGCCACTTCCGGCACGCTGCGGTAACGGCTCCGCCGCCGGCGCCACTTCCGGTCCGCGCCCGCCCGGCCCCCAGCTCGTCGGGCCCGGCCGCGGCGCACCAGGCGTCCCCGCCGAGAGCCCCGCCCCCGCCGCCCGGCCGGCCTTCCGGGGCAGCCTCGCGGAGAACCATACGCGAGCCCCGAAGTGGCTCCTAGGCGCGAGAAGGCCCGGAATGGCGGGACCGAGAGCGCCTAGCGGCCATGCTGCAAACGGGCGGAAGGGGTGTGGCTCGGGCCGCGTCACGTGAGACCGGTGTTGTCACGTGGTGGGAGGGGCACCGCCCCTCTCCGGGGAGAGAGCGGGTCCCGGGCGGTCCGAGTCCCCGCCGCGCGCGTGTGGCGTTAGAAGCGCCAGGAGTGAGCGCGTGGAGACGAGCGTACGCGAGTGCCCCGTGGAGGGAGCTCGGAGCGGCGCGCACACTGCCGTGCCCTCGTCGTGCGATACCCGTACGCACGCTGTGTGGCGCGCCCTCGGGGGCGCGTCGTCTGCGCCGGACCCCGAGTCCTCGGTACGCCCGAGTGCGGCCTCGGCGAGCTCCGACCGCGACGCCGGTCAGACGCGGGACGAGCACCTGCCGGGGATGCCCTCCGACGGCCGAACCCTGCGGGAAGTAGCGCAGGGTAGGACTGGTTCCAGGAGCGTGAGCAGGAGCTGGGCATTTATGAGCGCTTTGAGAAACAGCGACATCGTCAGCTTGGGCGCAAAGCTGGCCGTGGCCCGCGGGAGGACGCGACCGTGGCCCGCCGCGGCCCGCGGGAGGACGCGACCGTGGCCCGCCGCGGCCCGCGGGAGGACGCGACCGTGACCCGCCGTGGCCCGCGGGAGGACGCGACCGTGGCTTAGCTACTCCTGCGGACAGAAACGCTTTGCATCTCCACTGTACTAAAATCTACAAATGAACGTGCATCTTCATATCCTGCGGGCTCTAATTAATTGCAAATACAGCCAGAACCAGGAGAATTGCCCTCGGGCAGTGATTCTGAAACTTCTCGGAGTCATTTACACTCTTAACATTTATTGAAGACCCCAAAGACCTTCTTTGTGTCTCATTATTATAGATAGGTACCACCTCAGATATTAAAACTGACAAATTTTAAATCTTTATTCGTTTTTAAATAACCACAAAAAGCACATGACATGCTAACATTTTTATGAAGGAATAATATTCTTCGAACAATTAGGATTACTGAGAAGTGTAGTATGGTTTTACATTTTCACAAATCCCTTTAATCTCAGGCTTCATCGAAGGCAACAAGATTCTCGGAACTTTTGCATTCACTGCATTGCAATATGTTGTTTTGATGGAAATACATGAAGAAATCGCATCTTACATAGATTGTAGTAGGAAAGGAAAGGAGCATTTTCTTTTCTTTTTTTTTAAGATCTTTTTTTTTTAATTTTATTTTTTATTTTTTTAAAGATTTTTATTTATTTATTTGACAGAGAGAGATCACAAGTAGGCAGAGAAGCAGGCAGAGAGAGAGGAAGGGAAGCAGGCTCCCTGCTGAGCAGCGAGCCTGATGCGGGACTCGATCCCAGGACCCTGGGATCATGACCTGAGCCGAAGGCAGCGGCTTAACCCACTGAGCCACCCAGGCGCCCGGAAAGGAGCATTTTCATTGTCTTTTCAAATAAAAGCATTTTTTGAAATCAAAATTGCACAGGGGTAGTTTCTTAACAGTGGTAATATGGAATCTGAAACACCAATGTTTGCTAATTGTCACATTAACACCCATCGGTCTGTCCTGAACCTTGACTGGATCTCTTACAGGCATGATTTCCTAACACCAGGTCAGAATGCAGACTGTCGCATCACAGATGTATGAAGCACACTCAACTGACAAGGCTGGGAGAAAAAGATGCTGACCTAAGTACCTCTGGAAATGAGCGAAGTCTCAGGCTAAAGGCCAAGGGAGCTAAAAAGAGACTCTTCACCCTAAAGTTGTTTCCCAGGGGGGTGTAGGCTGTCATCTCTAAAAACATGACCCATGTACAGCGGAGGTGAACAATGAAGCAGATTGTGCGTGTGGTGGACTGAGGCTTCTCACTGCTGGCGTGGGAGCTCACGGAGAAGCCAGGAGGAGGCTAGAATGATTTATGTGACGGTGAATTAGAGCTGGAGGCATTAGCATGAACCAAGTTTAGCTTTGTCTAGCTACAGATGGCTGCAGGTAGAAATATTTATAGAAATGGGCACATACATGTGTCAGTTTACACACACATATTTCATTGCTCTCTCGACTGAGCAACAATGAGCAACAATGCCCCAGCAGCAAAGTGCACACAGAGCACCAGATCCTGGGTTCGAATCCCATCTCCAACCAAAGGGCCAAGACTCCCTGGAGAAATGGCTGATTCTGGGACTGGGACAGAAAGTATACGAGCTGAACCTGGACCAACTTGCTAGTCGCGCCAGGCAGCAAGGAAAAAGGGAAAACCATCCATGATGGGGTTATGGCAAAGGGACGTAGGAGCCCACAGAGAGACCCCCCCCCCAAAATGAATACCCGTGAGTCCACACAGTATATATCACACTGAACGATACACCTATGGGAGGAAACAGACAATGTTCCTGTCAGGAAGAATTCCAAATAGTTTATGTAAGTACTCTGCTCTCCGGGGCATGGACCATAACACCCCTCTCCCTGAGTGTAGGCTGTGCACAGCGACTTCCCTCCAAATAGCACCATAAAACCAGCATGGAAGGGGGAAGGGTAACTGTACCGAGATGCCTGACGGACACGACCTCGGCCAGGTGACGAGAGTCAATGCCAGCAGTGGGAAGGCACAGGGATACCAGGCACCCTTCATATGATCTGCTGAGAAGGGCACGCCACCTCTGTGGTCTCTCAGCCAAAGACTATAACTTCAGTCTAATTAGGAGAAAAACGCCAGACAAGCCCCGTTTGAGGGACATTCTACCAAACTCCTGACCAGTGCTCCTTAATGGTCAAGGTCATCACAAACAAGGAAAGTCTGACAAACTGTCACAGCCAAGAGCCTAAGTAGACATAACAAGTAAATGTCATGTGCTGTCCTGCGTGGGATCCTGGGGCAGAAAGAGGGACACCAGGTAGGCTTAGCCGTTATTAATACTGGTTTATGAATTGTGCACTGATAAAGGTACTACACTAATATGATATATTAATAAGGTAAAATGGGTGTGAGACCTATAGGAACTCTCTGTACTATCTTTGCAATTTTTCTGTAAATCGAAAACTATTTTAAAAATTTTAAGTTTGCGGGGTGCCTGGGTGGCTCAGTGGGCCTCTTAAAGCCTCTGCCTTCGGCTCAGGTCATGATCTCAGGGTCCTGGGATCGAGCCCCGCATCGGGCTCTCTGCTCAGCCGGGAGCCTGCTTCTTCCTCTCTCTCTCTGTCTGCCTCTCTGCCTACTTGTGATCTCTGTCTGTCAAATAAATAAATAAAATCTTTTTTAAAAAATTTTAAGTTTGCTTTCAAAAACTGTATTTTAAAAAATGATAATCAGGGGTGCCTGGGTGGCTCAGTGGGTTAAGCCTCTGCCTTCGGTTCAGGTCCTGGTCTCGGGGTCCTGGGATCGAGCCCCGCATCAGGCTCTCTGCTCAGCGGGGAGCCTGCTTCTCTCTCTGTCTCTGCCTGCCTCTCTGCCTACTTGTGATCTCTGTCAAATAAATAAATTAAATCTTTTTAAAAAATGATAATCATCCATAATCCTACCCTTCCCCACCAAGAGCAAGTGGGATGTGCTGCGTTGGTGTGGGTCCAGGGAGGGAGGCTCCCTTATCCGCTGCTGGTGGGAGTGTGAAGAGAGCAGCCGCTCTGGGCACGTTTCAGCTGTACCTGTTCCTTAGCTCGCCAACACCGCCTCCAGGTAGCCCTCCCGTGTATGCACAAGGAGACGTACAAATCCATGCTCAGCCTCATAGAGGTTCCTGCTCTGTACCTGAAATCCCACAGGTGCAATGAATTTCAGGATTTAGGTTTCTAGAAAAGTAACATGATGCTCACCTTGCCTTAGGTATTACCCCGCATCAGGGCCTGTGGCTATACACAGCGGAACCAGGCTCGCCGTGTACCCGATACCTGACCACGCCTGTCAAGGACGCCAAAGGGTATAACACCCCATTCGTGAAGAGTATAAATAGACACACCTTGTCTGGTCAGTTTTTGTCACCAAATGAGTTTGCCCCACACTTACAAAAGAGAAGGAAGATAAACTAGATTTCCAGAGACTTGGGGATTTGGGAATTCCGCATAAGCGATTATGGAGCTGGAGTGGAAAAGTAATTGGGAGCAATGTGCCCACCAGCAAGGGGACGGGATGAAACCACTGCATTGGTTCACACAGGGGAACCCAGTGGGGCCACTGCCAGGAGGACTGGGCAGGTCTACACGGCCCCGTGAATAGATCTAACGTGTGTAGCCTGCGAAACTCGCGAAAGCGGATGTCAAGCATGATTCCATTTACGAAACATTTTTAAACCTGAGATAATACTATATATTGTTTACATATAGATACGTGGAATTAAAGTTTCAAAACTTGCACGAAGAAGACACACGCCGAGTTGGAGAGACAGAAACAGGTCACACCCACGCTGCCACATGCCGACTTCAGCTTAATCATGTCCTTACCAGTCCGACCTGATGGCCAGAGGAGGTCCCACTACAGGCACCCCCGTGGGGACAGCCTCTCCCAGACCTGAGTGGGAGGACCTGTCGGGGACCCCTATCAGGGAACCCGCATGGCCCTGGGGTCATCAGAACTAGTGTCCACTGCGGGGCAGAGAGCTGTGAAGGCCACTCTTGGAGGAATGTTCGAAGCCGTAGTTGACGTAGGTGCTGCTGGAGGTGGATGTCGGGCCTGGGTGGCTCGGGCAGGAGGCCATCCTGACCCTGGTGGCCTCTTCCATCTGCTTCTGCTCCAGCACTAGAGCTGCGTTGACGTCAGGCCCTGCAGGGGAACAGCCACAGAGGACCACGGTCAGGGGGGCCATGTGCTGAGCAGGAGGCTCCTCGCTGCCCTGAGTCGGTCAACGGGAGGAGGAACAGCTTCTCTTAGCAAGCAGGCCTTGCTGGGTACGGCCACAGGACGTTCCAGGAAGAAAGGAGACAGGGGTGCACAGGTAGGCGGGGATGTGCTCTGCGAGATAGAGCGATAGGATTGGTGCGGTCGCCTGCGTGGGAGGGGCCCTGCTGGGCTGGGAGTGCTGAGTGCAGGGGTCGGGGAGGCCCCGTTCGGTGCAGGGGGCGGGGCTGCTGTGTGGGAGGGGCCCTGCTGGGAAGGGACTGCAGGGCCGGGGGCGGGGCCGCTGGGTGGGCGGGGCCCTGCTGGGCTGGGACTGCGGGGGGGGGGGGGGGGGGGGGGGGGCGGGGAGGGTCTGCCCGGCGCGCAGGCGCCTGGGCGCTCACCCAGGTAGCTGAGGACCACTGGCAACAAGACCAGGCCGTGCAGCAGGCCCAGCACGGTGATGAGGAGGTTGAGGCGGAAGAAGAAGATCTGGATGAGCTGCGCCTTCGCCAGGCCCAGCACGAGGATGCCGGGCAGGTTGGTCATGGCCACGCCAGCGAACACCTGGGGGTCACAGGCAGGCGTGAGGCCAAGCAGGCGGCGGGGCGGAGGGGGGAATGGGAGGCGGTGGGCCCACTCACAGCGCTGCCCATGAAGACGGTGGCTTCCTTGGCCCTCTCCAGCCGGGTGGGCCGGGTGCTGACCGCAAAGGCGCGGGTGATGTGGGACACGAACTCCACGGAGATGCCCACCGCCTAGGGGCAGAGAGGGGCGTTAGGCGAGCGAGAGCCAGGGCGCGGGGTCTCTGGAAGGCAGCGGAGTGTCTGGCGAGGGCGAGTTACCGTGACCAGGTTGATAAGGGACACAGCGTTATAGCTGATGCCCCACAGGGCCATGAAGCCCACGGTGTCCACCAGGATCATGATGATGGAGAACAGGTTGAGGAAGCCCGAGCGCAGGTCCATGCCCAGCAGCAGGCAGCAGACGATGAAGGTGGGCAGCAGGCAGATGGCGAGCATGAAGAGGCCCTCGGGGACCACGTTCAGGTACTGCTCGTAGAACACGTTGGTGATCCTGTGGGCGGCGGGGCGCCGTCACCCCTGGGGCGCGTGGCTTCCCACGTGGGCTGCGCCCACCCCTCGCCCCTGCTCTCCCCCAGCTCCCCTCCGGGCCTCACGTGTAGGGGAAGACCTCGAAGGCCGGGTCGGTGCCGGGCACCTGCCGCAGGTAGGCGGTGATGTTGGCCGCCAGCGCGCGCGACGCCCTCAGAGCCTCCGTGTAATCCTGCGAGTTCCGCAGCGGCTTGTGGTAGGCCATGAACCGCGAGGCTGCGCCCGAAGGGGACAGGGGGCAGAGGAAGGGCAAAGTCAGAACCCGCTCGCTGCAGGCGCCCTCAGACCCCGGGGCACATCTGGGCGCAATCAGGGTTCGGAGGCCACCACAGTGGAACATTCCTCCATTGTGAGCAAGGGGCCCAGCCTGCCGGTTTCCGGCCACAGCCCGGCAGTCGGTCCTACTCCCCGGGGAGCCCCAAGCCCAACCTGCCTCTGCACAGTGCACTCGAAAGACGCCTCCCAGATAAACCCACATGCTGTGTTCTAGGGCTTCAAAACGTGCCTTGGGTTTTTCAGACTAAGTCAATTACTTTTCCAGCGTGCATCCTCCCAGAGGGAAGATCCAGAAGGGGAGACAGAAAGGGGGGAGCCGTTCCGCTGACAGGGTGAGGGCAGGCCGTGCAATGGTCATCCATTTAGCCCGCTGCCCACATCGGTGGTGGTTCGTGCGTGTGAGTGAGGGGTGTGGCTGACCCCCCCCCCCCCAGCACGCGAGGAGTCCCGGAATATCCCGCTGACTGAGGATTTGGGGGAGGGGAGAGGGGAACAGGGCACACAGGGGTGAAGTCAGAGAACGGGGAGCCAGGTACCACAGCCTCTGAGGACAGGGCCAGTGGAAGGCTCCCCAGGAAGGAGGAAGGGGAGACGATCCCAGATCGAGAGGCTCTTCCCAGGGGCTTGCGGTGACCCCTGAGGGCCGCTGCTTCTGGCCGTCCCCACCAAGTGAGGCCAGGCTTACCTAAAATCTGGCCATCGTGTCCCAAATGCACGGAGGTGTTATACGCTGCCAGTCCCCTGCAAGGCCGGAGCAAGGGCTTCATCAGGGACCTGACCACCCTCGAGGGCCAGCTGTGCTCCCCACCCCGGGCTTACCCTTTGGGACATTTGACGTTCGGGGGGTCACTCAGGAACCAGGGAAGGTACTTCTGGAACTGCTCCTCCGAGGGCCGCACAGGGCCGAGCGTCAGGCTCATGCAGTTCTTCAAGCAGGCCAAGGAGTCTGCAAAGACGGGGGGACTCTGGGCAGCGGCCCCCCAGCCCAGGCCGGGCGGCCCCCCGTTCCCATGCAGGTCCCCGGACACTGCCGCCACCGAAACACACAACGCACATGTAACAGGTGTGCTCTGGCGGAGGAGGGGCTCCCCTCTCGGTCACAGAAGCTGCCTGCAAGTCTAGCAGGTGGGAGAGCCAAGCGGGGGGCAGAGAAATGACCCCCCGCGGTCTCCCCTCTCCGCCGACAGATGAGACTCCTCTAAGGCCAAGGCCTCATGCTAGGTGCGGCTCTCCCTCCCACCCGCGTGACCGCAGCTCGGGGTGCGCTCACCCCCGCACGTGCCCTGACTGACCCTGAGAGAGTGCGGGAGGGGCAAAAAGGGCCTAGCCATGCTCCTTCCCTTGCCGCAGCTTCCTAAGCGCTGGAAGGCCGGGCGCCCCCAGAGACCCTGTACTCACTGACAGTCGAGGGGCAGAATTCGCCTTTATTAGGGCCATAGATGTAGAGGCGGCAGCAGGGGGACGGGGTCAGCCAGTCGATGAAGTCATCCACCCAGGAGGAGGCGGGGATGGCCAGGTATGACCTGAGGGCCAGGGGAGAGGACGCTGAGTGGGGGCAGGACCTGGCAGGCAGGCAGTGAGTCCTTCCTGCAGTGCCCCCCACCCCCGCAGGCATGGAGCAGCGGGAGGACAACTGCGTGGGGTCAAGGAGTCTGGAAGCGGGGCGGGGGGCACCGACAGGGCTCGGCCGGGGCACTCACTCCTCGGGGAACTCGGAGGCATATTGTATCTTCTGGGTTAAGGAGTAGCTGTCACATCCCGCGCTGGAGCAAATGGCGTTCATACCCGCTTCGCTGGAGAAGTTGTAGCCCCCTGTGGTGACAAAGTAGACTGGGGCCCCCACCTCGAAGTAGCGGTTCAGGCTGAAGAAGTAGTCCAGCAGGTATGAGTCCTGGAACAGAAGACAGTCCCGGGGCTGGGGCCTGACTCACCCGCAGGGGCTAATGGAGGCACACGCACACTCACGGAGGCTCACACTCATGGAGGCGCCTACACACTCACGGAGGCGCACACTCATGGGAGCACATACACACGGAGGCACGTATAGAGGTACATACACACTCACAGACACACATACACACACACTCATGAGATACACATTCACGGAGGTACATACACTGTCACAGAGGCACACACTCACAGAAGACATGCAAGAGGTACTTTGTAACAGACACTTGTGAGAGGTACCCGCACAGACGCCCGCGCCCACACAGACCCGCGCCCGCAGATGCCCGCGCCCACAGAAGTACACTCGCAGTCACCTCGCAGAGGGGTTCGGTCGGAACTGTACCCACAGAGTACACACTCAAAGGTAGTCACATCCCTGCGTGATCACAGGGACACACGCAGAGCACACCCACATAGGTGTAGGCACAGAAGCACACGTGAGCACACTCTGACACACCCACACTCAGGTCCTGCTGCCCCTTCCCATTATCTCCTTTCTACCACAGCTACAATCTAATGAGCTGCTCTGTGACCGTAGCCCACATGCGTGTGTACCTGTGAATGTCTGCCTGCACACCTGCAAGGCCATGTGTCAGGTAGCTGCCTGATCTATTCCCTTCCCCTGAGTGGTGTCAGAGAAGATGGCATAGAAGGTACCAGGCATCTGTCCCCTGACCTGGGCAGCCCTGCGCAGGCAGCACCTGTCTGATAGAGCTTGGAGCTCTGGGGTCTGCTGAGGGCTCGCAGCTCCCTGGAGGAGGCCAGGAAGCTGAATCGTAATCGATGCCAGCGGCCTTCAGCTCTCAGCATGGTAGTGGCCAGCCGGCCACGTGCAGGCACTTTGCACACAGCTTGCGGGGTCCAGTGTGGGACATGAGGACCCCGGCCCCCAAAGATCACGGATTTGCATTCTGACCACTGGCCGCTGCTCTGACCTCAGTGGTGCAGAGTCAGGCTGCTGCTGTCAGCTCCCCTTCTCGAGCTGGCGCGATTGTCGAGGTGTCTAAGTGACTAGTGACGGGTTTATTAAGTTGCCTCTTCATGTTTTCCCTTTTCTCCCTTTTGGCAGCCAGACATATAAGGAATGGGACAGTCAAAGGCAATCACAAATACAAGTGAAGTCACCACACTTTACCCGGGCAAGGCTTGTGCTCAGAAAAGATCTGATAAGACTTTAATTTTACAGCTCAGGCTAATCTCCAGGACAGAGACACCGGCAACAATCACATTTTTTTAAAGCAAGCCCCCAGGGAATGGGGAGAATCTGATCTTTAGAGTTAGCAGACGGTAAGACTCAACTGTCCATTTCTCAACAACCGTCACAGACACACAGTCAATCAGGGAAGTATGGCCCGTACCTAGGAACCAGCACTCATCAACAGGTGATCTCAAGAAAGAGCAGATGGCAGATGCATCAGACAGACACTTCAAACTCCTGACTTAGGGATGCTCAGAGAGCAGCCGGACAAAGTGTGAGCACACGGGAGCACTTAACCAACAGAAAACATGAAATAGAACCCAGAAAGGAATTTCGGAGCTGGAAAGTATGAGGATTACGTGAAAAATCCTGGTCATAGATTATATGATCTTATGTACGTGAAACTCTAAAATTCCACTCCAAACCCCTTAAAACTAATAAATAAATCCAGCAAGCTTGCAAGTTACGGGATTGACGCACAAAAAAAATCAGTCACATCTCTCTACACGAGCACTGACTAGCCCAAACGGAACTAGGGAAAGCCTAATTATAATAGCATGAAAAGAATAAAGTACTTAGGAATTAATGGTCACGCAAGGGGTGAACGGCTACACACTGACAGCCACACAGCATCGCTGAAAGGAACTAAAGGACACACCAGTGGGAAGATATTTGCATCCGTGGGCTGGAAAACTGACTATTGTTCAGGCCGCTAGAGAGTCTCCACATTCAGCGCAATCGGTCCAGAACCCAATGACCTTTCTTACAGAAACAGAAAAATCCACCCTAAAATTCACAAGGGACTCCAAATAGCACAGACAGTCTTTAAAAGAACAAAGTTGGAGGACTCGGGGCGCCTGGGTGACTCAGTCAGTTGGGAGTCCAACTCTTGATTTTGGCCCAGGTCATGGGATCCGGCCCTCATTAGACTCCACACTCAACAGGCAGTCTGCGTGGGATTCTCTCTCCCTCTGCCCCTCCCCATGCTCGCTTGCTCTCCCTCAATAAATAAATCTTTAAAAACAATGTTGGAGTGCTCACATCTCCTGGTTTCAAAACTTGCCACAAAAATACAGTAATCAAATCAGTGAGGTGCTGGCACGGAGACAGACACACAGACCAACCGAATGGAGGAGTGAGCCCAGACACAAACCTTGGCATATATGGTGACATGGAATTTGACAAAGGAGTGAAGGCCATTCAGTGGGGAAAAGGAGTCTCTTCAGCAGATGGTGCTGGGACAATGGGGCATCCACACACAAAAGAATGAAGTTGGACCTTCAAAAATATACACAACTATAGCAGCCACGTCCACAAGTGCCAAACTGGAAAGAGCCCAAATGTCCATCGACAGATGAAAGGATAAAGAAGATGTGGTCTATACACACAGTGGAATATTACTCAGCCATCAAAAAGAATGAAATCCTACCACTTGCAATGACATGGATGGAACTAGAAGGTATTATGCTAAATGAAATAAGTCGGAGAAAGACAATTACCATATGATCTGACTCCTGGATTATAAGATACAAAACAGAGGATCACAGGGGAAGGGAGGGAAGAATAAAACAAGATGAGATCAGAGAAGGGGGCAAACCATAAGAGACTCTTAACTCTAGGAAACAGACTGGGGGTTGCTGGAGAGGAGGTGGGTGGGGGGAAGTGGTAACGGTGATGGGCCTTAAGGAGGGCACGTGATGTGATGAGCACTGGGTGTCATATGTGACTGATGAGTCACTCACCTCTACCTCTGAAACTAGTAATATACTGCATGTTAACCAAATTTGAACTTAAATTTTAAAAAATAATATATACATTATACATATGTATGTAATTACATATAATTTTGGTTATATGCTATTAAACAATTATCAAAATATCTGTATCTCTTTACAAATTTTATACAAAGATTTATACTCTTTCTAATGTGTTATCTCTTTTATATAAGGACATTTTCTTCTGTGATTAGCTTTTACTAATGTAAAACTTGCTTTGATTTCTGTGTGCCTCATCCTAGTCAGATAATAAAGTGACTATGCAATCTATAAGAAAAACAATTATATAAGGAAGTGTTTGTGACACAGGTATGATAATTTTTTACATTAAAAAAGTAATCACACGGGACGCCTGGGTGGCTCAGTTGGTTAAGCAGCTGCCTTCGGCTCAGGTCATGATCCCAGCGTCCTGGGATCGAGTCCCACATCGGGCTCCTTGCTTGGCAGGGAGCCTGCTTCTCCCTCTGCCTCTGCCTGCCATTCTGTCTGCCTGTGCTCGCTCTCTCTCCTTCTCTCTCTCTGATAAATAAATAAAATCTTAAAAAAAATAAAAATAAAAAAATAAAAAAAGTAATCACAATAAAAAATTATACACAACTTTAGGACACCTAAGTGGCTTGGTCAGTTGAGCGTCTGACTCTTGACCTCAGCTCAGGTCTTGATCTCAGAGTTATGAGTTCAAGTCCCATATTGGGTTCCACACTGGGTGTGGAGCATACTTTAAAAAAAAAAAAAGGAAAAAATATACATAAATTATGTACAAAAATTAACTCAAAATGGATCCAACACTTAAGAGTTGAATTTTTAATACCCTTAGCAGAAACATAGGAGAAAAGCTTCAAGATCCTGGATTTGGTGATTATTGCTTAAATGACACCAAAAGCCCAGTGAACAAACAGAAAAATAGGCAAATTGTACTTTATGAAAATGAAAAACTTTTTTAAGGTTTTATTTTTAAGTCATTGCTACACCCAGCATGGGGCCTGAACTCACGACCCTGAGATCAAGGGTCACAGGCTCCTCCAACTGAGCCAACCAGGCACCACGACAATTAAAAACTTTCATTCAGGGCACCTGGGTGGCTCAGTGGGTTAAGCCTCTGCCTTCGGCTCAGGTCATGGTCTCAGGGTCCTGGGATCAAGCCCCACATCGGGCTCTCTGCTCAGCAGGGAGCCTGCTTCCCCCTCTCTCTCTGCCTGCCTCTCTGCCTACTTGTGATCTCTCTCTCTCCGTCAAATAAAAAAATAAAATCTTAAAAAAAAAACTTTCATTCATCAGAGGACACTACAAATAGAGTAGAAAGGCAACAGATATGAATGAAGGAAACATCTGCAAACCATGTATCTGATAAGGGATTCTACCCAGAATATCTAGAGAACTCCCCAAATTCAACAAAGAAACAAAACAACAACAACAAAAAAAAAGGAAGCGGTTTCAAAAATGGGCAAAACACTTGAACAGACATTTCTCCAAAGAAGACACACAAATGGCCAATGAGCGCATGAAAAGGTGTCCAGCATCACTGATCATCAGGGAAAGCAGATCAAAACCTCACTGAGATACCCCTTCACACCAATTAGGACGGCTGCCATCAAAGCAGAAAAAGAAAAAAGCCAGAAACAGCAAGTGTTGGCATGGACGTGGAGACTTCGCGCCCCTGGAGCGCCATGGCGGGGGTGTAAAACAGAACAGCTGCGTGGGAAACAGTATGGCGGTCCTCGACAAATTAAAATTAGGATTATCATCCAATCCAGCGGTCCCACCTATGGGAACATATCCAGAAGAACGAGAAGCCCGTTCTGGAAGAGACAGCTCTGCACGCTTGTTCACGGCAGCGTCAGTCCCACCTGCTCGAACATGGAAGGAACCCGTGTCGTAGCAGACACACAATGGATAAACAAAATGTGGTGTGTGTGTGCACGTGAAAATCCCCAGCCTGGAAGAGGAAGGAGCCTCCAACCCGTTCCCGCATGGCTGACCCCGGAAGACGCCACGCTAAGTGGAAGGAGCCGCGCACAGAAGGACACGCTGTAGGGTTCTGGCTCTGGGAGGTGCTGGGAGGAGTCCAACCCACGCTGACTCAGCACCACCCGCCAAGCCCCTGCCCCCAGCCCTGTCCCTGACTCTCTTGAACCCCAGGGGAGTGAGGCCACCAAGCAGGCTTACCTTGGGCAGGGCCAGCTCCTGATCCAGCCCCACGCTGATGTGGCACATGAAGTAGAGCCCCACTCCAAACAGGCCCGTGAACAGCAGCAGCTGGGGGGAGGGGGATATTCTGGAGCTGGGCGGACGTGAATTCCAGCCGTCCCGGGCGTGAGCCCCACGGGGCCGGGGCAAGCCATCAACCCCTTCATGGGCGGCAGGACCAGGTGCCAGGCTGAGCAGACCCTCCCATCCCCCTGCCGCACCTCCCGCCCCGCTCACCACGACCCCGTGCGTGACCCGGTGCAGCAGCAGTGGGACATAGAACTTGCGGAAGAACCAGAGCAGGAGCCCCTCACTTTGGTCAGGCGGGGGCAGCTTCGGGGCGCCCACGCAGCAGCAGACATCCAACCGGGAGGCCTGGAAGGAGGCAGACCCTCGGGATGGTCCCAAAGCAGCCCCCGGAACTGCCTCCCTCCCGTGGAAGTGCCTCCCCAGGGGACGTCCCAGAGTGCTTTGTTGTTTGTTTTTCTGTCTTGATTAAACACCTCTAAACTTTGCACTGTCGCAGAAATGCTAGCTCCCTCATCTCATTTACGTTTTTTTACTCGACCTTTTGTACTTTGCAGGTTTGATTGTATTCCCCTAAACCACCTTTCCTCTGGGGCCCTGGGGGCTTCATGCCCACACAGCGCAGCACCTGTCCCTGCACCCAGCCCCTCTCTCTGAGCCTGCTCTGTGAAGGCATGAGGCTCCCCCACCCCCATCCCTGCAGAGATGAGCCCGGGCAGGTCCCTGGGTCCTGCACCACCCCTACCTCCTGCCTCCTGCTGTCCAGAGAAAGTAGGGCCACAAAGGCGGACACCTGGAGCAGGAAGTCGAGAACGATCGCAAAGCCGGAGGTCAGGGCGAAGGTTCTCACAGCTGGCATGGGGGTCAGGGCCCCTGGAGGGTGCAGGGGTGAGTCTCAGGGCAGGGTGTCTGCTCAGAGGAGCGCAGGGAAGGGGGCTGCCCACCCCCAGTGCCCCCAGCCCCCCTGGCCGCCCAGGCTCACCGAGAAAGAAGCAGATGGCCTCAGACAGGCTGCAGAGCAGCATACTGGGGGCCACTCTGCCCAGCGCGCGGCCGATGTGGGCCTCTCGCCGCTCCTCGGGCCTCCGAGGCAACCTCTGCATGGGGACATCAGGGCCAGTGTCCAGAGCCAGCCATGGGCAGGGAGCTGGCCTGTCTGTGCCCGTGCTCTGCCTGTCAGGAGCAGAGCCCACCAATGCTCTCTGCCTCATCCACTTATCAGGGTCTGGCCCAGACACATGCTTGGCACACTTTGGGACATCCATAGCCTGCTCGTTCCAGCACGCCCCTGGGTCCCTCAACGTCCGCCCACAGGAGAGGCAGATCAACTCGGACTGTCCATCCGTGGCATGCCACGGGGGAGGCCGTGCGGTGCCACGTGATGCCCCACAGAGGGCATGGCGGCCTGAGGGAGAGTAAGTGCAGGGGACACGTGCATCATGAAGATGACACGGAACCGTCTGCGGTCTATGTGCCCATGTTTGCCCACGCAAGAGCAGAGTCGGCCCGGCCCCGGGGGCTGCAGGAGCCCCCCGCCCTCTCACCTGGTACTCCAGAACGAAGATGAAGATGTTGTCGGCCCCCACGGCCAGCACCAGGAAAGGCACGACCTGAAGGATCACCAGGGAGGAGGGCACCCCCAAGTAGGAGAAGAAGCCCATGGCCGCCGTGACTGCTCCCAGCACCACCGCCACCCCGCCCAGGCCCAGCGTCACCTTGGAGTCCACCTGCAAGGGAACCAGGCTCAGCTCCGGGCTGCCTCGCGTGGTGGGGTGTTCTAAGGGTCAGCTCTGCATCTGCTCTGGGGGCCGTCCAAGAGCAGCGCACCTCCAAGAAGCGTTACCCCTTGGGGAGCCCCTGTGGGGAAGGTTCTGGATATCCTGACAAGCCGAGCCACCCCACCCTGCCCTCCCACCCACCCCAAAGTCTCACCAGCACTCGCCGCCAGCTGGAGTAGCTGCCCAGAGCCAGGGAGATATACAAGAAGATGATGATGTAGCTGACCCCAAAGATGGGCAGGTCCTGGGCCGTGGTGCGGTTGATCTCGTCCTCCAGGGAGCGCTGTGGACACACCCCGCCAGCCCCGCTTACCCAGGGGCTCCCTGAGCCCCAGCAGGGCTGCGGTCCCGGCCTCCCAGATGAGCGAGCCCAGGGCTGTTCAGGAGGGGAGGAACCCACCCGAGCCCCGCCCCGGGTCCCCTGCCCACAGAGCCAGGGACTCTGAAACCTACCTCCGCCATGAATGTGACCTGGATCCTGCCAGCTGTCTGCCGCTGGAAGGCTTTCATCTCCTCTAAGAAGGCCGCCTCCCAGAGCTTAACCTGGGCCAGCCGGGGGTCCCCAGGTTCATAGTTGTTGAGGGAGAAGGTCATGATCAGGGCCTCCGCCTCAGAGTAGTCCTTCCCTGGGATGCGAAATGCTCAGCTACCCTCCTTCCTCACCTCTGCTCCCCTCCTCACCCAGCCTCCTCTCCCTCACGCCAGCCCATCCCTGTCTCCCCTCCCCCTCCAGCCTCACACACTGCTCCCCTCCCTATCCAAGTCATGGTCTAACCTCTCCACCTGACCTCCCTCTCTCAGCCAAGGACCAGACCTGTGAACCCAGGCACGGACCAGAGGACCTGAGGGAGCGGGGGGAAGCTGAAGGAGGTGGCAGGTCCTCGGTCCCTCCAGCCCCTGCTAGGACCGGCCACCCCCAAGCAGCAAGAGCCCATCACTATTCCCTCCCACCACTGCCCCTGCCCCATACGGCCCCCTCGCTGGCCTCCCCCGGGGCCACCTGGCTTACCTTTGTAGCCTCCCACAGCAAGGAAGGGGAAGACCGGACCTCCATAGTCAGCCATGCAGCTCAGGGCCAGGGCTGTGCCGTCCTTGAAGGTGAGTGGGGCACTGGGGGCAGAAGGAAGGAACTTTCCTGACCCCATGGCCAGAACCGTTTCTCCCAGTAAGATTTCATGCGACCCAACTCACAGGGGACCCTCTCCCCGCACAGCTGCCCAAGGCTCTGGGCTAAGGGCTGCACCCAGACAAGGTGGGTGGGCCTCACACACACAGCCCCCGGGGGACACCGGGACTTCGCTCCTGGGGTCAGCACACCTAGCTGCTCGGGCCTCGCACCGCTCAGCCTCCTCCCTCGCCAGCCTGGAGCCCTCCAGGCCCGAGTTCGGATCCTTCTTTCTGTGGACAGGTGAGCAGCCCGGGGCCTCGGGCACGTCTCTACTGAGCCTTCCTGCAAATACATCCTGGGCACGGGGATGAAGCGTTCTTTGTGAGTACGTCCGTCGCCAGCTGTCCTGGGCATGCTGGCTGCCCGGGACGTGGAGAGGCTCATGACACCCTGGGCCTGTTTTCCTGTCTCTGGGTTAGGCATCATCAGCCACCGGAGAGCTTCTGTGAGCTTCCAAAATCAAAATCAAGCCGGCGTGAGCTTTGGACCCGGGGCCAGAGCTTCCTCCCCAGCCCGCTGGCCAGGGCCAAGCACAGACTCTGGGAAGCGGCCCAGAGCGTGGGCTTCCCCGAGGGGCAGGGCCCTGGGTCTCCCTCCCCTAATCCAGTGGTTCTCAGTGTCGCGTCAGGGCCCAGGGTCTGCAAGGCCAGAACTATTCTTATAACCGCTAAGATGCTGTTTGCCATCCCCCTCATTTGACCTCAATATAAGGGGTACAGACGGTTCACCAACACGGCTTCAGGCTCCGTGTTGCAACCGACAGCTAGGACAAAGCCCTGTTGACTCCGGTGCAGAGGCAAAGCTAACCCAAGCCCGTGGAAGGCTGTTGCAGCCTCCCTCCCTTGTCCGGTGCATAGGGGTGAGGCCGTGCATTCTCACTGGGCTCCAGACCAGGGCCCGGCTGGACTCTATCTAGCGAGACACTGTGCCACTCTGTGGACTTGCGATGCTCTCGGCACTGTTGTTTGTAAAGAACTAACACAGATGTTTTCTTTTCTGTTCTGCTTTCTCATGTGGGAGAGGTCGGGGGACCTGGGTCTGTCCAGATGCTGGGGACCCCTGTCCACTGCAGCCTCAGACAGCCTCGGCCACTGCCTGCCCACGCGCCGCCCTCCAGGCTGGGGTGGCCGGAGCCTTCGCTCCCAGCCCCAAGGCCTAGCAACCTCCTTAGCTTCCTGGTTTGCCCCGCGGCAGAGAGGAGGCAGCTGGCCCTGAGCCCCAGAAGCGCCAGGCTGTGTGACCGTCTCCTGCCCAGGGGACACCCAGCCCAGGCGTGCAGAACCTGAGCTGAGCCCCAGCCCCTGCCCTGGCCCAAGGGCACCTCGCGGGGGACCCTGCTGGCCTCCGGGGCCTGTGCGGAAGCCCACGCACGCGTGGGGCCGTCACATCACTCTGTAACACACAAAACAAGGACGTGCGAGGATGCCACTGCTCTGTCCGAGTGGAGTGGAAGCCGGGAGGCCCAGATGGCCCCGTGCAAATCTGCAACAGCCAGTGAGAGCCCACGGAGAGAGCGGGCCCTTGGGGGAGACGTGGAGAGAAAGGGGGTGGTCTGGGTCTAGGTCTGAGACCCAGACACGGAGCCACCTGGGAGTCCAGTGGCCGCGAGGCCCCGGCGCACACAGCAGCCCCGGCTGGGGCGGGCTGCGGGGGACTCACTTGACGCAGTAGAGGAAGTGGTCCCTCCAGTCCACCTGGGAGGTCTGCCCCGTGAGCGTCTGGTTGGCTGTGAGCAGCAGGCGCGAGCGATTGCTCTGGAAATACTGCAGGATGCTGTTGACACAGCAGTCGGAGAGACGGGTGCTGTGCGGGTTGAGGGGCGCGAAGCAGACGTCCTGCAGCGAGATGTTGCGCTTCTCGGTGGGTGACCACACCTGCAGGTGCCGCAGCCTCTCCTGCAGCTCCAGCAGCTCCAGCAGGAAGTCCAAGGCCAGGATCCCGCTGAAGTTCTTGGGCCCGAGCAGCAGGGAGTCGTAGTGGTAGCCGGGCTCCCCGGGGGCTGTCAGGATCACCTGGTTGGTCCGGAAGAAGGGGCCGAAATGCTGGTCGTGGAAGGCCTTCTCGCTGCGGGCTTGGCTGCTGGGGGCCGACCACAGCTCCACGGGGTCCGTGGTCAGCTGCACAAAGGCCAGGCCCCCCGACAAGGCCACCACCACAGCGATGGACAGGAGGAGGACAGTCAGTGGCCACGAGGCAACCCACGTGCCCCAGGCCTGGAAGCACCGGCTAAGGACAGTGTGGGTAGAGAGGCTGAGTCTGTCGGACAGGCTTGCGCCTGCCTTGGGGTCCGGTGTCTTGTCCCGGCGGTGGGACGCGGCCAGGCGAGTTGCCACAAGGAAGGCGGTGAGCAGGACAAGCGCAGAGCAGAGGAGGATGACGAGGACTAGCCCGCCCGCCATCTGGCCCAGGTAGAAGGTGGCGTCCAGGGCCTGGGGCCGGGCGATGACAGGGCAGGATGCGGCACAGTCCTGGCAGGAGCAGGCGGCCGTGCCGTTGCCCTGGGACACGTTGCAGGGCTGGACCTCCCCGTTCAGAGGCTGTAATCCGCTGCCGGGGTCCTGGCCAGGCTCCAGCAGGTGGAAGGTGATGTCCACGGGAGCCAGGCCGTTCCCCGTGTCCCCCTGGAAGTTGAGCCAGCGCTGAGCGGTGCAGAGGGCGGAGCCGTACACGCCGCACATGGCGCCCACTGCCAGCGTGGCGGCCGCGGGGATGCGCACCCGGCTGCACGAGTCGTAGGTCCGCTGCGCAAAGTTCTGCTGGTAGAAAGCTTCGTAGGCCACCACGGCCGGGGGCCGGCCACCCCCACCCCCCACCACACGGGTCACGTTGATGAAGAGGCTCTGGTTGGGGCTGCAGGTGTTGAGGCAGTGCAGGTTCACGAAGTTGTCGGAGCAGGCGGGGCAGCGGGTGAGCAGGGCCTTGGTGACCGCCAGGCTGGCCTCGAGGGACACCAGCTGCTTGGAGGAGCAGCAGGCATACGTGGAGTTGGGCCCCGAGTAGAGGCGGGGGCAGATGCGCCGGAGGAGGTTCAGGTGGTTGCCGGTGACAAGCACGGCAGGCGTGTTGGACAGGCAGGACACATTGGACAGCGGGGCCAGGCCCCCGGACAGCTCCGGGTTCCTCCCACACTCTTCGTAGAAAGCGCAGTAGCCGGGCCGGTGGATGGGCGTGTGCGGCTTGCCCTGGGCCTACGGGCAGGACGATGTCAGCACGGGCCCCCCGCCGGGCAGCACCTCGGGAGGCTGGCGGGCAGCGGGGGCCGAAGGACCCGGAGCAGGGGCAGGCGTGGGGGGCACTGCTGAGAGACCCAGGGAGAGGTGGGGCCCCTCTCACAGTGTCTGGAGGACACCCCTGCCAGGCCACAGTGGTGGGGTCTCTGGAGAGGGAGGTGGCCGGACACACCTGCATTTCACAAGGTCATGGCGGAGGGCAAGGGGACAGGTGGGGAGAACGGGGTGGGCTGGGGGACCCCCGGAGGGTGCTGCGTGGTCCCACTGGGACACGGTGGCCCCTGACAGGTCGGGGGCTGAGACCAAGTGGCCTTGCCCTCGAGGCATGGTTGCTTCAAAGGTGGCTGCCGTCTGCCTGAGCCGCGGCCCGTACCCAGAGGCCTGGGGCCCCTCTTGGAGATTCTTGGGGCCCAAAGCCTTCGCCCGTCCTCCCAGATGTGCGAGTGACGGAGAAACTTGAGGCAAGCACCCCGGAACTACCCGGCCCCCAGATGCTAAATCCTCGTCAGGTGATCCCCCCGAGCCCACCCCACAGCACCCCGGGATGGGAACTTCCCTCAACCCTCTGCTCCCACCTCAGGCCAGGACATCCACACGTACCACAGATGGGAGGCACTCTGCCACCCCGGTCCCCAGGACCCCCACCCGCACCCCTCCTGGGGCTGCCTGGGATCCCTCATCCCTCCAGGCCCTCCTCACTGTGGCCACGCAGCCCCCAGCACATAGTCCCCTGGGGCCGCAGTGGCAGAGTGGCTGTGGCCGCCCACACCCGGACTCACCAAGTGCAGGAGCAGCGCCCACAGCAGCCAGCTCCTCGGGCCAGCCTCTGCCATCCCAGTGCGGGAAGAGGTCCCAGGGCAGTGGGGCTAGGCCACAGGGACAGCCGGGGACAGCCAAGGGCTGGCTCTTGGAGACCCACAGTGCTTGTCGAGGTAGCTCATGTACTGAAACTCGGGGTGCACAGTGAGGCGGGCTCCCCGTCAAGGACAGCCTGGCCTGACTTGGCTGGGACCAATGGGGCTGAGCCCCACACCTCCCACGGCTCCCCGCTGGTTAATGATCCACTTCTCCTCCCTCCTGCCCTTGTCCCCGTCTCTCCACAAGCCTCCCAGTGAGGTGCTGGGGTCTCCCTTGGGCCCACTTCCCAAAGCGAGAGTGGGCCATCCGAACCCCACTCAACACCTGCCCCTGGTTGTCCAGCCTCAGAGCCCCCCTCTACCCAGCCCCCTCTTGAGACCAAGCCAGCTGGGGCCAGGACACACCCTTGCACTGTCAGCCTTAGCAACAGTTGTTAATTAATATTAACAACCTGATAACAGAGGGGACAGTTAGGGGTGGAGTGACCAGTGACAAATGTCCTCCTCTGGGCAGAGGGGGAAGATCGGCTACCCTGACAGCACACAGAGTTCCCAGATGCGAGAGCCCAGGCCCTCCTTTGCCCGCCCCCCTCCGTCCCGTCCCGGCCAGGCCAGGCCTGTCCCTGCCAGCCCTGGAGGGGCAGGGTCACCGGGAGCCCCACGCAAACAGCGCAGGTGCACGGGACTCACCTTCTGCTCCCTCCCTCGGATTCTCCCTATCACCAGCGGTCCAGACCTTGGCCCCGCACGGAGGCTGAGCTGATAAGAGAGCCTGCGCGAGCACCTTCTGTGTGGCCGCCCACCCCGTGCAGCAGCAGGAAGAAGCCTGCTATCTCTAACCTACCGCGGCTCAAGGACCCTGGTCTGACTCAGAGGAGCCACCCCAGCTGTGCCGGGAAGACAGAAGCCGAGGGGAGCTCAGGCCCACCCTGAGTCAGCTCTGAGTCAGCCTCGCGTAGAGAGAAGAGTCAAGGGCCCCGGGCCCTCTGTGTGCAGCCGCCACTGTCTGGTCCCCTTTGGGCCCCGCCCCCATGTGCCCCGCTAGCGGATGTGGAGCCTCCAGCCCCCCTCAGGGCTTCTGTCCCTGCTCCTGGATCTTCCCCCAGAAGCAAAGCCTGAGACGGGGATGTCACTGCACACAGTTTATCACAGGTGACCCAGATGGCCCCAGCAGGGGCGCAGGGATGAGCCAGGGAGTGGAAGGAAGCCTGCGTGGTCTCCGGGGTCTCAGCTGACACACGCCCAGGCCAGAGCAGAAGACGGACGTGCTCCCCACAGTCCGTGCACGCCCAGGCTGTGTCCCGCAGAGCGACAAATCCAGCTCCTCGGGCCGGTGCCTGCGTGTCGTTATCATGACTTAGTTTTCAGTTCGTGACTTTGTGCCCAACTGTTAGCTCCTCGATCTCGCACTGATTCAGACCGAGATCCTGGAGATCAGATTAGGGGGCAGAAAGGCGCCAGGCTTCTGTCCTGCGTGCCGGGCCCGCGGGCGCTTCCCTGGGCTAATCTGGAGTGTGGTGATTAGCAGATCGCACTGGGCACTGGCGGGGGAAGGGCTCGGATGGGCGACACCCCAGCGCTGAAATGCTTTCCGCTGACACCGGCGATATCCAAGCGCCCCGGGCAGCAACCTCGCCGTCACCGTGTGCCGTCTCTGCTGTCAGGCTGGACGCCTCTTTTCCCATTTTCCTTTGAGACGAGGGACATGGGGTCATGGGTCCGCTCTGGCCCAGAGAGGGGTGAGCGGGTCTCCCGGCTCAGAAGACGGCGCAGGGGAGAAGCCTGCTGGGATCCGGCTGGCGGATGCTAGGCAGCGGGCCCCAGGCCGTCGGAGAGTCCACGGTCTGGGCTGAGAGGCGGGGATTGGGCTGCGGCACTGGGCCAGCCTGGCACGACCCCGGGCTGGGTGTGCGGGTGACGCTCTGACCAGCCCAGGTGCACTGTGGGGACTCCCTGGGCGGCCGGCCTGGAGGGGAAATGTGGGGTCTTGGCACCTCGGGGCAGCCTTCGTCTTCCTGTTGTCAGAGCCCCAATGCTGTGTGCGGAAGGACTGTGTCCGCCGTGCGGGGGAGAGACGCTTCCCTGCCCTCCCTGCCTCCTTTGCGGCGGGCCATGGTCCTGTGGTCCTGTTCTGGCCAGTGTGAAGCCTTTTTTTCTCATGTGTCATTTTTTTGGAGCGGTCCCCTGTTTGCAGGAGATCCCACCCACCCCACCACGGCCCACAGCCCGTTACTAACCGCGTGTGTTAGTGGGGCACTTTTGCTGCTGTCTATGACCCAGGAGGGACAGGTTACTATTAAGGCGAGTCCACGGTTTACGTTAGAGCTCACCCTTGGGGAGCTGTGGGATTTTACATCATACAGAACCAGTCTCTCTGCCTAAAACTCCCGCACTCCTCCTTTACCCATCCTGCCTTCCCAAAGCCCCAACCGCCACAGGTCTTCGCGCAGACGTTTGTTGGCAAAACACACACCACAAAACTCACTGTCTCCACCGTCTGAAATTCAGTACCTTCGCACTGTGGTGCCGACATCACCACCGTCCCTCTTGTAAATAGGAGCTCTGTGCCTGCCAAACCCCACCTCCCTGGCCCCCCGAGACCCCTGCTCTGCTTTCTGTCTGCACGATTCTGAGCACCCCAAGTGCCTCACGTAAATGCGACCAGACGGTCCTTGTCTTTCCTGTGACTGGTGTATTGCACGGAACGGAAGGTGCCCGCGCTTCATGCCCGCTGGAGCGGGTGTCTGCAGTTCCTTTTCTAAGGCTGAACGCTGTGCCATGGCGTGGACAGACCAGGGGCTGCCGAAGGACGCCCGGGGCTTCCACTGTTGGTTACTGTGAATAATGTCATGACCATGGGTGTGCTGCTTGCCTCCCAGACCCTGTTGCAAATCTTTGGGGTACGTATCTAGCCATGGAATTGCCAGATCAATTGGAAACTTTATTTTTAACTTTCCAAGGAGCTAGCCTATGGTGTCCCACAGTGGCTGCAGCCTTTCACACCCCCACTTTTTCACACCCTCTGCATGGGGCTTGCCGCTGTTTCAACGGCAGCGGTCCTGATGTCCTCATCTGCTGATCCCTGGAGAAAGGTCTCTCCGAGATCCGTGTCTAGTTTGCAATCAGACCGGGTGTCTTGTTTGGTTGTTTCTTGTTGCATATAGGCATTGCTATAAAATCTGGATTTGATGCTTTTTTTTTTAAAGATTTTATTTATTTATTTGACAGACAGAGATCACAAGTAGACAGAGAGGCAGGCAGAGAGAGAGGGGGAAGCAGGCTCCCTGCTGAGCAGAGAGGCCAACGCGGGACTCGATCCGAGGACCCTGGGATCATGACCTGAGCCGAAAGCAGAGGCTTAACCCACTGAGCCACCCAGGCGCCCCCTGGATTTGATGCTTTATCAGAGATGTGGTTTGCAAATATTTTCTCCCGTTCTGTAGGTTGCCTTTTTACGCGGTTGACAGCAACCTTTGAGGCACCAAATTTTAAAATTTCACCGTGTCAGATTTGCCGATTTGCTAACGGTGCCTTTGAAGTCATAGCCAATGACTCACTGATAAATCCCATGTCACGAAGCTTTTGTCCTGGTTTCTTCTAAGAGTTTATACTCTAAACTCTCCTTTTTTAAAAGTGGGTCCCATGCCCAATGTGGGGCTTGAACTCATGATCCTAGATTGAGAGGGGCAGTCTCCACTGATGGAGCCAGGCAGGCATCTCCACAATCTATGACCCAGCTTGAGGTCAGTTTTGTATATGGTGTTAGTAAGGGCCCAACTTCATTATTTCACACAATGGATATTCACTTTTCCAAACATTTCATGAAAAGACTGTCCTCTCTCCATTGAAAGGTCTCAGCACGCTTCTCAAAACTCATTCCACCATATATGCAAGGGTTTGCTTAGGAGCTGTTCATTTCGTGCCATCCCATTTGTCTATATGACTGTCTTACGCCAGCACCACTGTGTTCATTACTGTATAATTTTAGAGAGGGAGAGAGGAGGGGCAGTGGCAGAGGGAGAGAGAGAATCTTAAGCAGATTCCACACCCAGCACTGAGCCTGACATGGGGCTCTATCTCAAGACCCTGAGATCATGACCGGAGCCAAAATCAAGAGTTGGATGCTTCACGACTGAACACTGATGACTCTATATTTGTGTTAAGTTTTGAACTCAGGAAATGTGATGTCTTCCAACTTCATTCTTTTTTCAAGATTTTTTTTTTTTTTAATTTTAAATTTTTTTTTTTTTATTTGACAGATCACAAGTAGGCAGAGAGGCAGGCAGAGAGAGAGAGGAGGAGGAGGCAGGCTCCCTGCCGAGCAGAGAGCCCGATGCGGGACTCGATCCCAGGACCCCGAGATCATGACCTGAGTCGAAGGCAGAGGCTCCAACCACTGAGCCACCCAGGCACCCTCAAGATTTTTTTTTAAATCTATTTGAGGTCCCTTGAAATTCCAATACGATAGATTTTTCCATTTCTGCAAAAAATGACATTGGGATTTTTTTTTTTTAAGATTTTATTTATTTATTTGACAGAGATCACAGGTAGGCAGAGAGGCAGGCAGAGAGAGAGAGGAGGAAGCAGGCTCCCCGCCAAGCAGAGAGCCCGATATGGGGCTCGATCCCAGGACCCCGAGATCATGACCTGAGCTGAAGGCAGAGGCTTTAACCCACTGAGCCACCCAGGCGCCCGACATTGGGATTTTGATAAGGATAGCATAAAATCAGTAGCTCGCTTGCATTAATAACAATATCAACTATTCCAACCTGTCCATGAATACAGGGTTCTGTTCCAGTTCCATCTCCTTTAGTCTCTTTCAGCAATGTTTTCTCATTTTTGGTCTAGAGAACTTTCACTTCCTGCGTGAATGTAATTCCTAAGGATTTTACTCAGTTTGATGCTATTGCAAATGGAATTTTCCCCTCAGTTTCCAGAACAGTTTGTTCATTGTTCTTGTATAGAAATGCAACTGA